AAAATTGGAAAATAAACAGTATACTTTTTTTTTTTTTTTTTTTTACATTTTATGCTTTGAACATCGTAACTGAACAAAAAAAATTGCTGTATAATGAACATTTTTCATTTTCCTAAGTTAACTTTCCCTAGTTTCCTAAGACCTATTTTCCTAGTTTCATTATTCACTCACTGGGAAGTGAGAAACCAAACATAAAAAAAACATACATCAAATAAATGTTTTTTATTTATTTTTTGGCTCTGTGAAGCTGCCTTTGAAAATCCTACATAAAAGTTTTGGTTAAAAGCTAGGTATTTTAGATATTTTGAATATTGAAATGAGAGCTTATTTTACTATCTGTGTCTGACAAAGAATTTCATCTGTAATTTGCTAATAATTCTGAACACTGTAATTTTATCTTTTTCAAGTGTGTTTGGTTAGGGTTAGAGCACTTTTAGATGCACTTGCACGTTAGAACTGGAGTTGAAGTGCCCTGACATACAGAAAATAAATGTTTTTATTTTGTGTCTGTACAGTTGCTTTTGAATGGCTGTCTATGAGGGTCAAATTGACCCACGAACATCACGAACGTAACAGTGATTTTGTTTGTATATGTCAAAACACATCAGCATGTTGAAACTTTGCATGCATGTTCATCATGATAAATGAGAAAAAGTCACAAAATATCAAGAAAAAAACAAAGGTTAACCAGTATTTCCAACAACTTGAAAATCGAAACGGGTCAAATTGACCCGCAACATAACACAATAAATGTTTAATTGAGTAGATATTAAATAAAAGTTATATGATGTCATCATATTGCACAGCGATGGTCTATAGTTTAGCACTAAGGCATTATAGACATACAGTAACAGTATGACTTTCTATAAAGCTGCTTGGAAAGGGTGTGTATTGTGAAAAGTGGCATACAAATAAATGACTCAACTTGATAAAATCATTATTAGAGGTTTAGTCATTATAGGCTGATCAATGAACTTGTTCTAAAAGTTTTTGGTCCTGGTTTTAAAAGGCCTGAAATTACAGTTAAAGGTAAATTAGTATCACATTTTTGATTTATTTTGATTTACTTTTTGCAGTTGTGAGTTTATCTCACACTTCTGGGGAAAAACTGTTAGAATTGCAAGATAAAAACATACAATTGTGAGAAATAATATAATATAAACACAATTCTGACTTTTAGTTCAGAAACAAAGTCTATAAAAAGTGGCAATAAGCTGTGACTGAAACAAGCTTTTATGAAACAGATGTTTGGGGTTTGTAGTTTGTAGTTTTCGTAATCATGGTTCCTGTTTTTCATGTGATTCCCTTATCAGTTATGTGATCATGTCATAATGTGTAACATTTGTATTGGTTTATTGTGTTCAGGTGTGTGTTGTTAAGTCATTAGTGTTGTGTGTATATAGCCCGTATGTGACCCGTGTTCCCTGTTACCGCTGTCGGTGAGTTCTGTTCATGTTTAGTACGCGTTCAAGTCTATTGTTTACTGTGTTTAGTTCATGTTGGGATCTAAATGAACTGCACATGGTTCAGTTCATCTCGCCTTTAGTGGACTTTTGTGTCAATCTAATGGCAGATGTGTTGACCATTATAGGCCTGTCAACAACACTCTTGCTTAACCCTAAAAAGGTCAAGATCATAAACAGACATCAGAAAATTCATTAATTGCTATTTTCTATCTTATTGTGACTTATTTTTAAAAATATGATTTAAAAAAAAAATAACAACGTTTTTTTGATTTTAATGTTTGTATCCCCCAGGATACGTCACCCCTTTTACGGTTAAAAATGTATTAATTCTTATAAAATGATCCAAAAATTCTAAACGCTTTACAATAAGTTCTAGTTTATCAAATACAGCAACTATTATTCTTAATGTTTGTTGATAAAATTGCAATTATTTCTTGTTTAGGCCTATTCATGTTAGTTCTCACACAACTTTTTGTTTACTAAATGTGTTAGTAATTGTCAAAATTAGCATTAAGATTAATACACGCTGTAGAAGTATTGATGATTTTAACTACAGTTGACAAATGAAACCATATTGTAATGTTACCATAATAATATTTTTGCTGTTGTTTTAGTATATGTTAATGTTCTGTAATTTATACATTGTAAAAAGGATTTTTTGAAGTAGTAAATACAACAAAGATTATTACAAGAAAATACTATTTCAAGTCTTGCTACTTTAAAATTTCACGTTTAATGTTACTTCCCATTTCTTTGTAATTAATAGTGAACTCACTAGCAATTTCTGAGTTTTAAAAGGATTCTACATCATTTTTTTTTCCAGTGTAATTTATTTTAAGCAACATGACTATGATAATGTTCCTCTTTATTCTGAAGTGGAATCGTCAGAACGGAAAATCTGATTTTCTCATGCTGAAATTTCCATGTTGAGGTAAATAGAGCTGCACACACACACACACACACGCGCGCGCGCGCGCGCACGAGCAACAGTCGCGCGGTGGAGGATGCGCACAACATGAGCAACAGCCAATACAGCTCATGCACAGAAGAACACGGTGCATTCTGACTCTCTTCTGCCCATTTCGTGTCGGGAATGTGATCTACAAACACTTTATTTGCTCAGCCTCTCGTTTGAGGCCGGTTAGATGTTTTTTTTTTTTGCGTCCTTTTTTTCTGGATCAAACCCCCGGTTCATCGTCACGGTTCGGCGGAGACGCTTCACATCACAGGTGACTGATTCCTCTCCTCATTTCTGCCTCCATTCTGAGGTGAATCCTGAAATAAAATAATACGAAATCGAATGCATGTACGATGTTGTAGTCAGGAGGAGCCAATATAAAAGGCTCATGTGTGTTCAGTTTATTCCTAGAGATCAGTGAGCGCGCATATTCCCTTTTTTATATCTAGTAATGATGAATCCTCGCTTTGACTGGACCTGCGTAAAGCGCGTTTAGTGGAGAAAATCGTCCCATCTGATCCGGTGTGATGCACTGATGAGTTTCTGATCGAATCGAATCAAGAGGAGACGCGGATCCGGAGCTCATATGGAGAAGAACGAGATCATTTGCTCGTAAATGAAGATGAATCGAGAGCAGATTTATGAGCAGAACCGGCTCTTCTACACGTTTACGTGGACCTCAGGCAGATGTTCGGCTAGAACTGGGTTACAGTAGAGCAGATTTGAGGCCACACATATGCGCTTATTTCCCATAGATGCGGGTTCGGGTTGCGCGCACATCATCACGCGCGGCGACGCGAGGAACAGATGAAGGGTTTATTTGGGATTTATGATGAGTTTATCACACAGTTATTGATCACTGGTACAGGATCTTTCATTAGGGGTATTTAAAGGGAGGTTAGCAGGAGAGGGAGCTCTCTCTGTATTTGTGTTTTCAGTCTATCATGTTCACATGCGTATGTCTGACATGATTTCCTACAGATTCTGCATGTGGCATCAGTAGATGCGGTTCACAGCACTGCCCACTGATGGCAAAACTCAAACTACAGTGTTTTAAAACATTATAACTGCTACATAAAATAATATGATCGTATAACTAATATTTAAATGCATTCAAATTACATAAAAATCCCTGCCATGCATGTAAATATGTATTTCACTGCTTTATAATGCATCTGAGACATTCCAGTTCAATAGTAAAACAAATGACTTGTTGTAAAACTGGAATTTGTGAATGTTTAAAATAAAACTGAATAATTTTACATGAAAGCAATAACACATTTAAATTTAAGTGGTGTAACTGCAATATAAAAAACGCCACAAAGACTTGAAAAAAAGGTCATCAATTTTCCTGCTGGCATTTAGCTTTATTAATGTATTGATTAAAGAGCACAGCAGCCAATGATCAAGTAATTATGTTTTAGTTAATAATAATTCTACGCCTATTTAGTATGGAAGCTTGTGACCGCCATGAAACAAATCATTTTAAAAGATAATTGTGACTTTTATCTCGCTGTTCTGACTTTTTTCCCCCTCACGAGATATTAAAATTCAGAATTGTGAGATAAAAAGGTCGCAATTACCTTTATTTTAAATTTTGTGGCGGAAACGAGCTTCAGTGTGACCAGTGCTGGGTATAGTAACTGATTACATGTAATCCGGATTATGTAATCCGATTCTAAAAATTAACTACTTGTAATTAGATTACATTTTAAAATGCTTGTAATCAATCAAGACTACAGTTACTTTTCTATTGATTACATGATTACATTCTCACAATGGCATAGATTATAAATCATTGATTCTACTTTATTTTAAATTTTCCTTTCTAAAAAAGCCCACTTCTTATATACGTTCAGAAGCTCTTCCAGGAGCACTACATCCAATGGAATATATTTTCTTTTTCTTTGTATTTTTATATCATATAAGGTACAAGATTGTCAAAACAATGTGATAAACAAGTTGGGTCAAAACAAGTAATCTAAAAAGTAGTCTGAACGCATCACCTAAAATGAGTAATAGATTGCATTACTAACTATTTTTATCATGTGATTTGGAATCAACTGACTACAATTTGTAAGAAATCTTTGTGTGACCTTCAATTAAATGGGTTTTTGTCTGATTTTCCCTCTCTCTCTCCTCTGTCTGTTTCATTAGATACGCAATATAACCTCAGAAGAAGAAGTTTTCTCCGTCAACAGGATCTGGACCAGAAAACTGGACTGCAGGATTACAAGATTCTTTGAGCGTCACTAACAGTTTCTGGACTCCTTCAAAACGAGATCTAATATCTCAGATCATCTGTTCTGGATTACTTACTTTGGAGAGCATGATTACTTCCAGAGCTGGAATACTAGAGACTAATCTAGTTTATGTGTGCAAACTCGATTACATGGGCGAATCCCTCATGTGAACGGAGCCTAATTCGTTTTTCTGCAGGACGTGCGTTGACTTCCACAGCAGCTCGTGTTGTTTATGTGGTCGTTCTTTCGGCAGACACAAAGAATTCGGAATGTTCACAGTCTAAGAACATTCTTTTGGAACATATACTGTCAGGAACTCCGTTCTTCCTGCTGTTGGTGTGGAGTTGAGTCCCATGGCTCGACCCGGCTCCGGGGTTCTGGTGTCGCTGGGAGGAGGATACTCGTCTCAGAGCATGGCACGGGTGGTGGTTTGGGAATGGATGAACGAACACGGCCGATGGAGGCCGTACAGCGCCACCGTTTGTCATCACATCGAAAACGTCCTGAAGGGAGACGCTCGTGGGACCGTCATACTGGGACAGGTGGATCCGCAGCTCGCGCCGTACGTCATTGACCTGCAGTCCATGCATCAGTTCAGACAAGACACGGGTGAGTCACGGACACACACGGCAAGAAAAATCACATCACTCCGCTGATGCACTTTTTCCTGATGTTTAACCATGAAAGGTGTGCTTTTGATGTGTGGGAACTTTAGTCAGTGTTTAGGCTAGTCCAAACATTCACATTCAATTTAAATCCACTTTACATGCACTGCAAAAGATATTTTTCTTAAAATGTATCAAATTTATAGTGTTAGTTCACCCAAAAATCGAATTTTCCCATCATTTACTCAGCTTCAAGCCATCCTAGGTGTATATGACTTTCTTCTTTCAGCCGAACACAATCAGAGTTATATTAAAAGATATCCTGGCTCTTTCCAAGCTTTATAATGGGAGTGAATGGTGCCTGAGTTTTTGAAGCCCAAAAAAGCGCATCCATGCATCATAAAAGTGATCCAAACGACTCAAATCAGGCCTTCTGAAGCCATGCGTTTGTGTAAGAAAAATATCCATATAACTTATAAACTATAATCACTGGCTTCCGGTAACAGCCGTACGCGAGTCTAGTTCCGGCGGAGTGACCTCTGACCCGACGCATAACGATTGACCTCTGACCCGACGCATAACGATTGACCTCCGACCCCACGCATGACGAGTGACCTCTGACCCGTCACATGACGAGTGACCTCTGACCCGTCACTTCACGAGTGACCTCTGACGCGTCACATGACGAGTGACCTCTGACCCCACGCATGACGAGTGACCTCTGACCCGTCACATGACGAGTGACCTCTGATCCCACGCATGACGAGTGACCTCTGACCCGTCACATGACGAGTGACCTCTGACCCCATGCATGACGAGTGACCTCTGACCCGTCACATGACGAGTGACCTCTGACCCCACGCATGACGAGTGACCTCTGTGAGTGACCTCTGACTCGTCACATGATGAGTGACCTCTGACCCGTCACATGACGAGTGACCTCTGACCTGTCACATGACGAGTGACCTCTGACCGGTCACATGACAAATGACCTCTGACCTGACGCATAACGATTGACCTCTGACCCATCACATGACCAGTGACCTCTGACCCCACACATGACCAGTGACCTTTGACCCGACACATGACGTAGGATGTAGGAGTAGCGTAAACTCAGGTGACAGTCGACTCCTCTCGCGGTTCAAACAACAAACTCAAGCTCCTCCCACATTTCTCTTGAAAAATTCTCGTTTTAGACTCCGGTGTTTGTTTTACTCGATCCTCTGCGCTTCTGCATTCATCAATACGTGATGCGTCGCGTCAGAGGTCATGCGTCGGGTCAGAGGTCATGCGTCGGGTCAGAGGCCATGCGTCGGGTTAGAGGTCATGCGTCGGGTCAGAGGCCACTCTTCCGCCGGAACTAGACTCGCGGACGGTTGTTAACGGAAGCCAGTGATTGTAGTTTATAAAGTTATATGGATATTTTTCTTTGCTTCGGAAGGCCTTTATTAACCCCTGGATTACTTTAATGATGGATGGATGAGCTTTTTTGAGCTTCAAGGTACCATTCACTCCCATTACAAAGCATGGAAGAGCCAGGATATTTTATAATATAACTCAGATTGAGTTTGGCTGAAAGAAGAAAGTAATTTACACCTAGGATGACTTGAGGGCGAGTAAATTATAGGATTATTTAAAAAAAAATTCACTAAACATCTTTCAGTGGTGTCAGAAAAATAATCTTGTATTCCCTTTGAATTAGATTTATTTTTCTGACACCATTTGTAGATATTTATTCTAGTTTAAATCATAAACTCACTTAATTTTGACAGTTTAAATTTGAAAAAAGACTTTCAATTTAGCTTCTGAAGTAAATGTATCTTGATTTAAGAATGTTTAGATATTCAAAAATACTTGGTAAGAACTTTGCATGTGAAGTGCATGTGAATTGAATGTGAATGTGTGAACTAAATGACTAGTTGTCTAACCACTTACTAAAGTTCCCACACATCAAAAGCACACCTTTCAAGGTTAAACGTTCAGAAATAAGCGTCAGAGATTGCCTGAGAGGTTCTCGTGTGCTAGTAGTGTTCACGCTGCATTTGAAGTCAACTAGATGAACAAAGACAGCTTCAGGGTTTTTGACTTCTTGGAAAATCTGTGCGGTTCCAACCAAGAGCTGATATTCTCTGAAGACCATCTCTCTCTCTACACACACACACACACACACACACACACACACACACACACACACAGACAGACACAGATCGGCACGTCCCCAGGGCTCTCTGTTCGCATGATGCCATTGCCGCTGGCCACTGTTTTCCCTCATGAGAGAACATGACCTAAAGTAGAACAGTTCAGGGTTAAATTAGGACACATGGGATGCTCTGTGGAAAACAGAGCTGTGTGTTATTTTGGTGCATGTTTGTGTTCATTACAGCACATCTTTTAAAGATGAAGTGTGTCATTTCCGTGGAAATAACATCACCAGATACAGAAGTAAATATTCCCACAGATTTTCTGTCTGCAATTGGTCATAAACAGAGATAGTCCTGATCCTAAACTCGGTTGAGTCAATGCTTCTGTATCAATCTCTGAACATTTAATGTCTTTTCCATGTGACTTGGATGCGGGTGTCTCTTTCTTCTTGGCTTCTTAACTAGTTTAATGCAGCTTAGCTAAGTTTTGCTGGAGAAACAGCACAGTTCTGGTACTAACCAATAATAACCAGCATGTCAATTCAAAACTGATTGGGTGCAGGAAGGTTTTTTAAGTGGAAGTAGTTCATCTGTGAAAGGAAAAGGAAAAACAGGCCACAGACTCTTCTGGATATTTAGGCCTTCCTGCTAATCCGTAAAACCAGACTAAACTTAAAATGAGAAATCAACGTCTCTCATTGTATGACCTCTGACTTTGTGGTTTCTCTGCTTCACCAACTTCCAGATGCTGCCTCTCTCTCTCTCTCCCTCTCTCTGTCTCTCTCTCTTTCTCTCTGTGTGTGTGGGATGGGTGGGTTTACTTGGTTATACTTGTGGGACAAAATTTTCCCCAGAAGTGAGCTAAAACTGACTAAATCTCCCTTTGGGAGTTTTTAACATTCTAAACATGCATAAAGTTTTCTGTTGTTGTGTTAAAGCTAGTAGTCAATTTAATCTAAAAACATTAAAGGGATAGTTCACTTTGAAATTAATTTTTGATATGTTTTAGCTTGCCTCAAGGGCATCCAAGATGTAGGTGTCTTTGTTTCCGCAGTAGTTTCAATTTTGATATTTTTAGGTCAAACCGTTCTTGTCTGTCAGTCATATAATGCAGGTCTATGGTCACCACCTCAAAGAGCAGCACAGAGAAGTCCAAATTAAACATGATTTAATGACTCGTAAATGTAAGTACACATTGATGGCGCAAGCGCTGGAAGTGATCTCTCGCGCGTGTACGTCACTCATTGTTTACACAGAGATTTCGGACGTTTTACCTTTCACTGTGAAGATCTAAACATATTTAGATATACAGGAAATCGCAATGGAAGACGATTTCGGTATATCAACAGACAACGTAGAATTTATTTCAAAACCATATTTATTTGAACCCGAATACACCGGGGCTTTCCGCCGCTTGCCGGCGCTTGCCCAGACCGAAGCGCCGGCGCCCTCAGATCACTTGGACGTGGCTGTGATTACAAGAGGTAAAAACGATATAAATACTGTTCGTTTTCTCACACAAACCGCTCGTTTCGTGTCTTAGGCCATCAATGTGTACTTACATTTACGAGTCATTAAATCATGTTTAATTTGGATTAAAGTGAACTATCCCTTTAAATCTAAGGTACTTTGTCATTTAAAAGTGTGTTTGTGTGGGTTTGCCCCATGGTTATTATTGGGAACAAAATCTTTCCTAGAAGTGAGGTAAATCCAATAAAACCTTCAATTTGGGGGCGTCTGCATTTTGAAAAATGATTAATATATTAAGCAAATTATGTTTTTTAGTTCTAAGGAAGCAGTTTTCTTAGTGTGTTCTGACTGGTTACCAGGATGTTGCTATGCAGTAGCTGGGGTTTTCTTATTGGATGCCAGGGTGTTGCTATGCAGTTGCTATGGTGCTTTGGATGGTTGCTAAGGCGTTGCTTTGTGGTTTATATCGTGTTTTAAGCATGTTTTTATTCAGTTGCCAGGCTTTTCTAAATGGTTATTAGCATGTTGCTATATGCAATATCAAGTGTGTTCTGACTGGTTAACAGGGTGTTGCTGTGCTTTGGATGGTTTCCAGGGCATTACTATGTAATTTCTAAGGTGGCTTTAAGCATGTTTTATGCAGTTGCTACGGTTTTCTAAATGATTATAGCATGTTGCTTTGCAGTAGCTAGTGTTTTCTTATTTGTTGCCCGGGTGTTGCTAAGCACTTGCTATGGCGCTTGGATGGATGCCAAGGCGCTGCTATATGTTTTTAACTGTTTTTACATAGTTTCTAGGGTTTTACTTTCTTTTACATTTTTATATTAGGGGTAGAGGGTGGGGTGTAGATGTGGTACTTGTAATTTTTTTCACTGTCCTCTGTATTTGAAGTGCTATGCAGCTGTGCAAAGGCAAAAATGCAGTAACTACATGTTGTCCAAATTGAGTTAACTTATAAGTCAAATGCAGGTCTCTTAGACTAGATGGGTTTGACTGAACTTTGATCAGAAAGATGAGGTCAGATCATTTAAAATTAAATAAGAAAACTTTAAAGATAAGACATTTTGTCTTGCGTGTGTGAAATTTTGGACCACTTAACACTAAGTGTAATATTCTGAATTGGATGTATGCATGCTTATTTTAGGTGTCCTGGTTCTTCCAGATGGAGCTCTCTTAATAGACTTAGTGTTCTGAGATTCGTGTGTGTGTGTGTGTGTGTGTGTGTGTGTGTGTGTGTGTGTAGGGGTGGTGTCCCTCCCTGACTGCTTGGATCTGTCATTTAGTTTGAGGTTTCCTCGTGTGCAGTAAGTATGCAGTATGGTGCTGTCTCTAATAAACAGCAGCTGGTCACTAAGGTCATACTGACATCGCTCAGCCCTGGAGAATTCCTTCT